CCCACTCTGGCATGTCCCGTCAGGGCTCTCGGTGAGACCGCGCCGAGTGTTTTCACGCATTTCCCAGGGCTCTGCCAGGCGCGGCTCCCCGGTTTGAAAGAGAGCTCCGAGGGGCCTCGCGGGGTGGTCCCGGCAGCCTTGCTTCTGCAAGACGTGGCACTGCGGGTGGGGAGACGTGCTCTGCGCGAAAGCGATCCGTGCGGGTCTGTTAGTGCGCATGGGGACCAGTTAGTCTGTTGTGAATGCCAGAATGCGTTTCCACATCGTGTGCCCGAAGCAGCAGGCGGTTCGAGCAGCCTGTGGTCCGTCGGGTGTGTCTGGGTTTATTGCTTCGCCTGTCTCAGGGTACGAAATGATGTTATGAGCAGTCATAGAAGTTATAGAAGTTGCAACCTCTTGAGCCCCAATTTTGCAGTGCCTTCTAAAGGTGTGTGGTTTTAAGTACTACCAGTACTTCCATTGACCTCAGTGGGACCGCTTACAGTGCTCTGAGTTAAACTCAGATACGCTTTTTCAGGACAGGAGCCAAAGATGACTCATACAAGCATATGCATCACAGACTTTTATCTTTCCACTGCTATCTGTTGTTACAACTTATGGTTTAATAGAGGTTAAATATGTTGAGCTCAACGTCAGGTTCAGTTGTAAAATAGCCAGTTTCTATTCAGCACATTTCATCTCGCTTAAGCTTAATGCTTTCTTGAAGAATTGCGGTGTTGGCACTGCTCACGCTTTATCCTTTTTGGATCCTTTATCAGCTTCAGCAGCTGTTTTGCATAAGTGTGTTAGTTGAAGAATATGGATTTCGCAAATCATTTTATTTTTCCCAGCACTCGGCAGTGACAGATCATTGTCTGCTTAGCAATAATGGCTTTTCCAAAAGCGAAATGTGACAAACAATTTCTAATAAATCAGACCTCAAAGAGTTTAATAGTAAAATTCAATGACCCGTCACCAATGCTTTATACATTATGCAAGCTCAGTGCAAATATAGTGGAGAGCATATGCAATTACTGAAAATAATTATTCTTATGAGGGTAAATATTGCTGAGTGTTTCTTGTGTTAAATAATTGACTGAGGTTCCTAATGTCATTTCAGGAGGAGTGTCACAGACACTTGGAAATCTAACAATTTAATAATTTAAAATGACAATAACACAAAGGAGGTACTGGAATTATTCTCTAATAAATCTGAAACTTGATTAGTTGGGAGGTTATTGTTTTGGAAGACTGAAAGTTATTCTGTGCGTTTGATTCGATACCGAAGAGGAGGGTTTGTCTTCGCTGCAGAGCTGTTGTCAGCTGTAACTGCATCGAATGCTGTGAAGTCAAAGTCCCGATGCATGCAAAAGCCGTTAAGTGCAGTGGCGTTTTTAGCCGAAGGCAGCTGGGTCGTGGAGCGATGCACGCTGAAGATCTGCGGCCCCAGCGCCTCACTTGCTAGCGCAAGCCCTGAGGGACGCTCAAATGGCCACCCTGGCAATGCAAATGTCAGTGCTCCACAAGCTACTAACAGTCCACAGCCTGCCTTGAAAAAATCTGCACAAGGTTACGAAAATAAGCAGGTCAGTTGTCAGCAGCTTGCTGAAGGCTCTGAAACCCTCAGAAAATAGTAGGGGTCTAAAAAAGGAGGGCTAAAACCACTCCTTCCAACAGAAGAGAGGTTGGTGATCAGCTAATCAGTATTGTTTTTTTGCAGACCTGTGCGGTTGGTGTGACTGGAATGCTCTTCCCCAGAGGCAGCAGGACTCAGTAGCATTCCCCAAAAGTGCAACTGGTGGAAAACAGGGACAAAAGAGGCCTTGGTACTTTTTTAATTGTTTAACTGAGGGAAAGTAGTTTCTTCCGCACAACGGTATAATTGAGTTCTCTGCGTTGGTCTCGTCCTAAATGACCAGACAAGAGGCATGATAGAGAAAAGAGTGGGACCAATAAAAAAAGAAGAAAAGAGGGCAGATGACGGGATTGCTGTTTAGAGGGAAACAAGTGGAGGGCCTCTTTTCCAGGTTCTCTTGCAGGACTCAGTGGGTGAGTTGGTTAGTCAAGCTTGAAGGAGAGTTGGACCCAGCTGTCTTCTTTGCCTTCTTTGTTAAACTGATTTTGGCAATAGCCGCAACAGAAAAGGGTCAGATACGTGTTTTTTGTCACGTCAAGTCTGGAATCTGGTTTGACCTCTGACAAATTAACTGAAAAAAATGCCTAGTCTGGGTAGTGTGTTATCAGCAAGTTTTCCTATTCCTGAATACACTTAATTTTTCTCTGCTGAAATGACAATTAGTCAAAATCACCTGTATTTATTTACAGTAAATTATTTTTCATAAGTGAGATTTATGTCTGCTGTAGGCAGTGTTAACTAGTGATTCTGGAAGGATGAGAAGTATCTGCATTGTTTATTAAGAAAATGTATTCCTTTGTATTGTGACTTTTATGAAATTCAGCTCTAGTAGCATTTGGTATTGGTAGAAGGCAAAATGGTAAATTTGAAGTCACACAGTCAATGGGATGGAGTCAGATGTTCTTTAAGTTAACATTTTGGCTTGTGGCTTCTGCACTTTGTAAATTGTTTTTTTAGGGCGCTGGAGCAGTCTAGATGGAATCATAACTTCAGGGCATGCATATTAGATTAGAAATTTTAATGAATCAGGCTTCCAGTAAAATTGATTACAGATTTTCTCTTATCGGTGTCATCTCATTTTGTTACAAATTGGTTTTATTCTGGCTTTTAAAAAAGGAAGATCCTTGTGTGCGTAGAACATAAAATTAAAGGCTGTATGCTAGTGTCTTAAAATACCTTTTGTGCACATTAATTTGAAGAGTATGAATTCTGTCCCTAGGGCAAAACAAATTTTCAAGTTGCTGTGAAATATAGGGCAGCATTTGGGTAGAGAAGATGGTAAACAGGATATGACTGCTGAGACCTGGCAGCGTAAAGTAAAAGATTTTTATCGGGAGCTTATTGTGAAACATACAAGAAAAAAAAAGGCAGAGTCAGAAAATATAGCAGCAAGAAAAATTGCAAAAAGGGAGGTATTTTTAGACATCAGTGCCCTGATACTCAGAAAGGGACTTCCTCTCTGTGGCTGTAGGTAACTGCCAAGAGAGTTTTCCCAACACAAGAAATTACAAGCATGTTATGTAGTATTTAGACATCTAATGCCACTTGTGCCTCTAGAATCAAGTAAGTAGATGTATAAACGCTTAAAATCAGATGTGTGTGTGCTTTGTTTTTTCTCTAGATGCTCAACGAAAGACTGGCTTCAGAAAACCAGGGCTTAAAAGCACTTTGATATTGGTGGGGAGGGAGGCAGAAATTATATCCTCTTTCTTGCTTTTCTTCCTCTATTAAGAAAGCACTTTTTCTCTGCTAGCAAATGCAGAATCCACTTTCTGATCCTAAAGATAGTTTTGCATTTTGAGTAGTCTGAACAATTTGTTCTTTTTTTAAAACCTTTTTCCCCTTAATGATTATTGTTCCTCAGATTATTTATTTGGATGGGAAGATGAGCATCTAGAGGACTGAAGGTTGTGCTAATGCCTTCTTACCCTCGTTTCATTACTGTGTTCTGAGCAAAGCTCTGATTTGGAACCTCTTGGCTGACAGTTTATATTATGCTAATCAAAATCTGTTTACTGGAAATGAAATTTGAATACGCTGTAAGCTTGCTATCATTAATAAACGTGGTTTTTTTTTTTTTCAGTTGGATTTCCAGTTTCCGCTTCTAATATTGATGGTCTTGAAAGCGCGCTTGGATCCAAGACATTTTCTATCACTGAACAAGTCAAGAGCCTCCTCTGCTATCTCAGAGCAATACAGACAGCTTAATATCATATGACCTCATTTCTCCAAATTAAATGAAAAAAGAATTTTCTCTGGCTTTCCATGAAGCTCAGCTATTGCCTGTTATTTTTGACTGTTAGTGCTGATCTTTCGATTGGATTTACACTGGAAAATGTAGCTTTTAACAGGACGGTTGCTTTTGGGTCTTTCAATGCATCACTTCATACTGTGTCTCAAGCTTTAGTAAGTTCTCCAGCACACCATGATATCATAGCCAAAGAGGGGACCAGTATTTTAATTGAATGTAAACTGAACAGCAGCCAGTATGAATATATTTTTTGGTATAACTCCAGAGGACACCTGCTTGAACAGAAGGGTGAAGGTGAGCTTTCCTGCTGTTTTCTATCCTTCAGTATTCCCCTTTTATACAGTATCTGAAAACTTCTGGATTTTCTTATCATTTTCTCTTCCAGTCCTCCCATTTTTACAGTGGGGAGATAAGGAAGAGAGCAAGACAAAGCCCTTTGCCCTCTGGCATGTGGCATGTGAATTGTACCTGAGTTCTGTCCTAGCCCATCCATCCTGCTGCAGTGCCCCACAGAATCCTTTCGTTCAGGAGGTATTGCAGTGTTTAACACAGAAGAAATGAATCTGCATCCTACGAGATACTAAGTGATGTTTTTGGGTTTTATTGCTCTGGTTTATATAGTATTTTTCCAAACGTTAATTAAGCAAAATTCTCTGCAACTTGTGACCTTTTTCAGCTGGCAAGCAGTGCTTTAATTTTGTTACAGGATTTTTTAAAGCGTGGGGTAACTTACTACATTAATTTTCTGGTTTATTCACCGAGTGAGACCGCGGAAACTAACACAGTTTGTAATGGCTGATCATGAAATACATACTGTTTAACCCTTTTGTACAGAAGGAGTATATATTTTCCTAGCCATTGGCTCTTATAGTTCTGTCCCTGTAGTTTTTAATTTTCAAAAAATTAGGACTTTGAGATGCATGTGGTTTTCTCTACTCTTATTAGTATTAATGAAGGTCATGAAGCTAATTGATAGGATCTTCTCGGAGGCCATCTTTCTGCCTTAAGTATTCAGTAACCTCTTTGTAGTTAGAATGCCATCTGGAGATTAGTTCAAAGTAGAGCAATTAGAAGAATGAGTTATGAAAACAGTTTTCCCCCCAAGTTATAAATGCATAGGAAATACTGTAGAAAGCTAGCTTCTATTGATTTCTTTTTACATGGGTTTTGTGTATCAGCACTGCATGCTCAGCAGAAAACTGTGTCTGAAGAAAGTCCTGGGTTTTTTTGCCAGCAGAGCCATTTACAGACTCTGATCTTTTTCACAAGTCACTTGACTTTTGACTCCAAACGTATGGAAAATTAGACTTTACAGAGGACAGTCTTTCAACATAGTGTTGTTACACAGCGGGTGAGAAGCACTAGCTGAGATTTAGGTTCCCTGTCGGAAAGAGCTAGCAGTCTAAAAGCACACAGGCAGTGCTGATGAGAGAAAGAGGAAAAACCAGAGTAGCAAGCGTGCAGAATAATTTACCGTTAAGCAGTAGGATTGGTAAGTGGTTACAGCTTTCTGTATCACAAACATGAAAAGGAAATTTCCATCCTTGGAGTACTGTTTGTGTTACGCTAGAAATGGACTGCCTACTTCCAAGCTCTGTCTCCTGTTTATGAAGGAACCAACACATGTTTAGTTTACCCAGTGATTTTTCTTTCATTAGCTCAGTTTATTTCTTTTGAATCTCCAGGTGGCCGGTGGAGGATTGCTGATAATTCCCTTAACATCACAAAAGTCACCTTTGCTGACCGGGGGCGATACACGTGTGCAGCTGTTAATCGTAATGACACCTTGTATTACACAGTCACCCTGAGGGTTATCTTCACCTCGGGAGACATGAGTATCTACTACATGATTGTGTGCCTCGTTGCCTTTGCTATCACCCTGATTTTAAACATAACCCGTCTGTGCATGATGAGCAGTCACCTCCGCAAGACAGAGAAGGCTATCAATGAGTTCTTCAGGACGGAAGGGGCTGAGAAGCTTCAGAAGGCTTTTGAGATAGCCAAGCGCATCCCTATCATTACATCTGCTAAAACGCTAGAGTTGGCCAAAGTCACTCAGTTTAAGACCATGGAGTTTGCTCGGTACATCGAAGAGCTTGCCAGAAGCATTCCCCTTCCACCTCTGATCCTTAACTGCAGGGCGTTCATGGAGGAGATCTTTGAGGCTGTGCGAGTCGACGATCCCGATGAAGTCGGTGAGGAGGAAAAACAGACCCAAGCCTGCGGTACCCAAGCTGCAATATACCCCATCAACCCAGAGATCAAGCGCAGCGATTCGCCAGCCGGGGATTCAGACGACGGGTCCATGAATGAGCAAGGTCAAGAGATAGCTGTTCAGGTGTCCATCCACCTGCAGTCCGAAGTGCAGAGCATTGACACTGTTTCTCACGACAGCTGCCAGTTTGCGCCTTCCGAGGAAGGCACCTGCTGAGTCCAGCGATACGCTGATGTGAAAGAAGCACAGGTGACCCTAGGGTACTGCGAGAAGGGTCTGCAAACAAGCTGCCTCAGTCCCATATGCACAGGAGTTTTCCAAATTGCAAGGTGCCAGAACTGCTACGGAAATCCGTATTTTCTGTCAGTGTTGATCTAAAGATTGCAAGTCTGTTAGAGAAGGCCGTTTGGAATATTGTGCAGTGGCTTTTCTTTTTAAAGCAACCTTGCTGTACTTAAAATAATTACAAAACAGGAATTCTTTGTCGTTGGCTCCTTGGTAGCTTCTGACACTACCAATCTGTATTAGAAGTGGCCAAACTGAGCAGTACAACTTGCAATAAGATCTTTTCCTTTGTGGATTCTTTCTTCCTTCACTAAGTGGAGCTGGAATTCCTTTGAGTCAGTGTTGTTGTCCTGATGAATTGTGTGCTCTTTTTTGGATTGCCTCTTGGTGGGTGTAGTCCATCGGAACCACGGTGAGCTTGAACAAATCTGTTTTGTGTCGTGTGCTTCTGTGTTGCTGTCAAAATGTACTGTACTTAGGGA